CTCATTTCAGGGTAATCCTTATCATCTTGAACCGTGGCAAGAACTTTGTCTACTGTCGGAAATTCTTTTCTAAAGAAGAACGCATGCACTTTCCTTCGAAGTCTTTCTTTCAAAAGATTTTCTAATTGAAATTTTGGTTTTTCTGGAGCTTTACGTGCTGTTTGAAACTCGCCACACTTCTCTTCTTTAACAACTCTGTAAATCGTAGATTTCCCAACACCAAGCGTATTACTAACTAATTCCACTGTGTCATCAACACTTTTACATAAATGTTTGTCTGTAAATGATTTAAAACAATTAAATATTAATGTTTCTTCAATAACTGTTAAAGGATCGATTTTTTGTCGTTTACGCGGCCCTTCCAAATTTTCCATGATCACACTAGAATTCACACTGCACCTTGCAAGTTGCAACTAAACAACATTTAGTAAACTGTCAAGAATACACAACTTGGACATCCTTACTAAATGGAAAACCTATGATCGCATTGTCGGTGAAATTTGTTGGGAAGATATTTATCTACTTATAATTCGATTACTGTAAGAAATTCTTGGAATTAAAATAAAACAAAATTGGCAAATAGGTACTTATTAAAAATAATCTTAAGATACGGCTATGTAATCTTTAATACACAAAGCTTTTGGCCCGTCCAAACCTTTTTCTATTGTTCTGTACAGCTTATGTTTATAGAGGACCAATAAAAGACCCAAAACTTGTAATAGCTCAGGTACATTTATTACAATTTTAGGAAATATTTAGATTATTCTGTAAAAATATTTAAAATGACCGTACTAAGTTTTGCATTAGAAATGCTGTTTTATTACTCTCTCATACATAAAAATAGACTATAATGTCAGCAGAATGCCCAATCAAATGGTAGATTTACGAAAATGACTGGCCAATATCGTTAAAGACCGAAATATCATCTTTGGCCGTAACATATAAATATAGGCTCAGGAGCTTGATTACCATTAATTCGCTAATTTGGTGATTATTAACACTAACGCAAAGCATTTAATTAACTTATAGCGATTATAAAGTTGAAAGACGAATTTAATTAGTGTAACAATGCTGTACGAACTATATAGCTTGTTACAGCCACCTCAAATGTCACTCAAAACGACACTTTTGAACATAAATTCAACATTTGTTCTCTTAGGCATCAATATTATATGTCTATCCTTATTGTTAATGTATGAAAATAGTTCCTTATCAGTTAAATATGACAATGAGCAATCTAATATTCCTCTTAAAGATTCTACATTACTTATCCTTATACAGGGTGTCCTTTAAAATGTGTCCCAAAATTCTCAGGCAGATTCCTTAACCAAAAAATGGAAAAAAGTTCCTATAGACCTATGTCCTAAAGTGCCCCCTAAGCGAGCAACAGCCTCTCGAAATCATTTTTTTTATTTTGATTTTTTGAATTTTCTTAAAAATGGAAACAAATAAAAGAACCAAATTTTGGCTGTTAAATATGATCAATAATAGTGACCTTTTGACACCTTCAAAAAGAAATTATTTCGTCAGGGGTGTACTTGGGAATTTTTTGAAAATTTTGATTATTCATAACTTTTTTGTGTTTTTGGTAATGACTTATCCATATTTTTTTTTACATTCTACATTGAAAACTACGTCAAAAAGGAATACTTGTTTGATCTCGATTGGAGCAGCCGTTTCCGAGAAAACATCATCCAAAGATATTCGTGCAGTTTAGGTTAATTTTCAATTTTGGCTGTTGTAGCCAAAAAGTTGGAAATCGAGGAACACGGCTTACATGTCCCTATCCTTACTTTTGAAGGTCTATTCAGTGGCAAAAAATATTAGTTGATACAAGGTGATCAAAAATCGGATGTGATTTTGGATTTTTGATCACCCTGTATCAAATAATATGTATTTTATGTCACTGAATAGACCTTAAAAAGTTAGGATAGGGACTGTAAGCCGTTTTCCTCGATTTCCAACTGTTTGGCTACAACAGCCACCTGAATTTGAAAAAATGTGATTTTTGAGTAGCTGTAGATCCTTTACTATTCATATTAGATAACAAGTGTGATATATCATTGAAATCAGATTATCGAGCAGATTCTAAAAATATAAAAATATACAGGGTGTTCCATTTAAAAAACATAACTTTGATTTGGCACGGCCTTATGAAACACCCTGTCACATCGTAACTAATTTTAAAATGTGAAGCTTAAAGCTGCCTACTTTTATTATAACAGATCTACAGAGCTTCCTCACACTAATCAATCACCCTGTATACTATTTTTAGCTCTCTAAATAAAATTTAAAAATTTAGTTCCCATTTATTTATTATGAAGACCATAAGGTTTGTATTTAGCTGTTTAGAATAAAAAAGTAAAAATATGTATTTTTTTGGCGTTTTTGTGTTTCATGGATAATTTTTTTCGCTCACTGATAAAAATGTTTCTTCAGTTAAACATTATTTCTAAAAGTGTTCTGGTGCGATTCGTTGTATTGTTATTATTTTGTTTAAAATGGCTCACAATAACTACAATAATGATTACACATTCGGCGAAATGACGGACATGCACTTATGTTTTGGACTCGCTTCTGGAAATGCCAATGAAGCTCGCAGACTTTATCAGGAGCGCTTTCCAAATAGGCATCTTCCATGCGCTAAGACGTTTTCTAGAATTGACGATAGACTGGTACATTTAAGAAAAACTCTAGTAACAGTGGAAGACAAAATTATGTGAGAACTCCTGCTTTGGAAGAAGCAATTTTGGATAGGGTAGCTAAAACCCCATCGACAAGTACCAGAAAAATAGCAAATGGTAAGTAATTACTTATTTATTATTTTAGCTACCCCGTACCTTATCGTATAAAACTAGTTTTTTTACTTGTTATTGCTTCTCTTACATTTCACGACTTTTCGTATCGAAAAGAGTTGCGTTATGCAGAAAAAATCTGATTTCCCAAATCAATGGATTCTCTTTCTTAACTATTCACTACACAGATTCTCTCATTTAATTTCAGAAGTGGGAGTCGGACGTAACACGGTATGGAAAGTTTTGCGTGAACAACAATTGTACCCTTACCACATTCAAAAAGTTCAGGCACTTAAAGCTACTGATTATGAGCCGCGAGTTATCTTTTCTGAATGGTTTCTTGGAAGATGTAATCAAGATGCAATGTTTCTTAATAAAGTGCTATTTACCGATGAAGCTGGTTTCACTAGAGATGGTATAATAAATTTTCGAAATATGCATGAATGGGCTGAAGATAACCTTCACGCGGTTGTTGAACGTCACCACCAGGATAAATTTTCAATAAACGTCTGGGCTGGAGTTATTGATAATTACCTTATTGGACCATTTGTTTTGCCGAATAGGTTAAATGGAGCAGCATACAGGCTTTTTTTGGAAAATAACTTACATGAGCTTCTTGATAATATTCCGATTCAAATCAGACATAACATGTGGTTTATGCATGATGGAGCTCCACCACATTACAGCCTTGAAGCTAGACAGCACCTTAACGAAAGATTTGAGGGTAGAGTAATTGGCAGAGGTTGTCCTGTTAACTGGCCACCTCGTTCACCAGATCTAAATCCAATGGATTTTTTTGTTTGGGGTTATTTAAAATCATTGGTTTATTCCAGTCCTGTTGAAACAGTTGAAGAATTGGAAGAACGAGTTTTTCATCATTGCGAAGTTCTTAGGAATAATCCTGAAGTATTTTTTCGTGTAAGACAGTCTATGATGCGACGGTTGCGCTTGTGTGTGGAAACCAATGGTCGCCACATTGAGCATCTGCTTTAATTTTTTTTGATTTGTTTTTTTAGAATAAATATTTTTTTAAACCGTTTCTTATTATTAAATAAAAATAGTCCCACCACGACATTTGAACTACAATTATTTAGAGAGAGCTAAAAAAGTTATTTTTATTTACGAGATTCACCGAGGTAATTTAGGAAAATTGAAAATTAAGCTAAAGTGGACGAATATCTTTGGATGATGTTTTCTCGGAAACGGCTGCTCCAATCGAGATCAAACAGGTATTCCTTTTTGACGTAGTTTTCAATGTAGAATGTAAAAAAAAATATGGATAAGTCATTACCAAAAACACAAAAAAGTTATGAATAATCAAAATTTTCAAAAAATTCCCAAGTACACCCCTGACGAAATAATTTCTTTTTGAAGGTGTCAAAAGGTCACTATTATTGATCATATTTAACAGCCAAAATTTGGTTCTTTTATTTGTTTCCATTTTTAAGAAAATTCAAAAAATCAAAATAAAAAAAATGATTTCGAGAGGCTGTTGCTCGCTTAGGGGGCACTTTAGGACATAGGTCTATAGGAACTTTTTTTCCATTTTTTGGTTAAGGAATCTGCCTGAGAATTTTGGGACACATTTTAAAGGACACCCTGTAGAACTTCTTCTACAACATTTGTAATCTAAAATTTATGACTCAATAAATCTCCTAATCGCACCTAGTCCATTTTTTCCTGAAATCCAATACATCTTAGATACACACAAGTCATAAAATTTGTTCGTGAAAGTCAACATATTTTCCACGCTTTATGATCCATAGCGAATATACCGAAAATGCAGGATTTTTATGAGGACCGTCGTCCTGGCGATCTTTTTCCTGGAAAAGTATGCAAAGCAAATGAACAGGGGGGTTAAAGTTTGGAGAGGTTCTGTTTATTACTTTCGTGCATCGAACTGCTATACATTCCGTGGTCAATTTCCTTTCTGAGTTTACAAACTTTTTGGGGATGTACGCCCCACTCCCGATGGGCTTCTGACCGTTTTATCTTGAAAGGTATTTTTATAACCTCTGCTAGATGTCTTTTTTTATATGACGGGGGTTGTTGTTTATAACAGAAGTATTTGAAAATCTATTTCGTGGTCAAATTAAAGATAAAGGTCTAACTAAGGTCGTCTTACTATTGAATATTTTTTAAAGATGCTAAACAGAAGGTAAGAGACAAAAGAGAGAAGAAAAGTATATAGATTCTGAGAAAGAAATGGAAAAAGAAACTAAAAGACAAAGAGGAGAAGACGAAGCATATAGACTTGCAGGAAAAGAAAGTAAGATAAAAACAGAGAAAAAAATATAGGGAGACAAAAGAGAGAAGAAAAAGTATATAGATTCTGAAACAGAAAAGGATAAAGAAGTCAAAAGACAAAGAAGACAAGACGAAGCATATAGACTTGCAGGAAAGGAAAGTAAGATACCAATCAGAGAAAAAAAGTATATAGGGATGCTGAAAAAGAATCAGAGACAAAAAAAGAAAAAATTGCATAAAGGGATACTTAAAAAAAACTAAGTGACAAAAGAGAAGAAGAAGCAGCATATAAAAATAATGAACAGAAATATATAAAGAAGTTAAAAGACACATAAGAAAAGACGAAGCATATAAGTTAGCAGAAAATTAGAGAGGAAAAAAAAGAAATTACATAAAGAAATGTTTAAAAAGAAAGTGAAAACGAGAGAAGAAGAAGCATATAAAATACTGAACAAAAATACTTGCAAAAAAGAGAAGAAAAAATATATAGGGATGCTGAAAAAGAAAAAGATAAAGAGGTTAAAAGACAAAGAAGAGAAGACGAAGCATATAGATTTGTTGGAAAAGAAAGTAATATACAAAACAGAGAAAAAAGCATATAGGAATGCTGAAAAATAAAATTAAAGACAAAAAAATAAGAAGCATATAAATTTTCAGAAAATAAAGTAAGATACAAAATATAGAAAAAAAGTATTTAGAAATGCTAAAAAAGAAAGAGAAGAAAAAGTATATAGAGATGCTGAAAAATAAAAGGACAAAGAAGTTAAAAGACAAAAAAGAGAAGACGAAGCATATAGACTTGCAGGAAAAGAAAGTAAGATAAAAAAACAGAGAAAAAATGCAATGTTAGGGATGCTGAAAAAGAAAATTAGAGGGAAAAAAAGAAAAAATTGCATAAAGGTATGCTAAAAAAGAAAAAAAGTGATAAACGAGATAAGAAGAAGCATATAAAAATACTGAACAAAAATATGTAAAGAAGTTAAAAGACAAAAAAGAAAAGACGAAGCTTATAAATTTGTAGAAAATTAGAGAGAAAAAAAAAAGAAATTGCATAAAGAAATGTTTAAAAAGAAAGTGACAAACGGGAGAAGAAGCATATAAAAATTCTGAACAAAAATATATAAAGATGTTAAAAGACAAAAAAGAAAAGACAAAGCATATTTTGTAGAAAATAAATTGAACTTTGTTTATTTCATAATATTTATAATAATTGATTAATCATATTATGTTAAAATAGCCATATCCTGTTAAGTTCGAATAGCCTTAAGATTACTAAAACAAAGTTTTTTTTATTTATTTACTTACACATTTACAGGTAGGTAATTGATACAAAACATGGCCGAATCTAAGAAGAGGTGTCGTCAGTACAGTGTTGAATATTTAAAATTTAGTTTTCTTCCATCAAAGGCAGACAAACGATTGCCCACATGCCTTTTATGCAACAAAGTTTTGAGCAATGACTCTATGAAACCATCAAAGCTGGAAGATCATCTAAGAGGGTGTCATCCTGATAAAATAGGTAAAGATTTGTAATATTTCCAAACATTAAAGGAAAACTATGAAAAGAGACCCACCGTGCACATTATGTTCTCTTCAACGTCTGAAAGCAACGCTGATGGCTTGCGGGCATTTTACAATATCTCATTACTTATCGCACACCATTGGAGAACATACTCAAAAGAATTCCTTTGAGTAACAACACTGTACAAAGACGTATTGATGAAATGAGCACTGATGTTGATAGTTTCTTGTGTGTTTATCTACGAACAACTCATTTTTCTATTCAACTGGACGAGTCAACTTTACCTTGCAATGAAGCATTATTATTATCAGGTGAATCAATATTTAAGGTTTTGAGTGATTTTTTTGAAGAAAAATCGATTCCATTCACAAATGTTATTTCGGTGGCAAAAAATGGAGCTCCTGCAATGGTCGGGCGATATGTTTTTATTATTCATCAACGACATCACAGACTTAAGAATAAGTGGTAGAATTACTTTATTTGCTGATGACACCAGTGTAACCTGGAATAATTCTAACATGCAGACATTACAATCATAAGTGAAGATCTAGTGACTATTAAGTCCTGGTCTGATTCGAATGGACTTTGTTTCAACACCAGTAAAACTGTAGCATTGTCTTACAGAGGTACTTTACAACCTATAACTTTAAACAATAATCTGATCCAAACGGTGACTTCAATCAAGTTTTTAGGTCTTTATATAGACGATTCTCTAAAATGGTCTGCTCATATAGATACCTTAGCAAAAAAATTATCCTCCGCATGTTTTGCCATTAAATCGGTTTCTAAAGAGCTGACTCCTTCTACTGCATTAATAACCTACTTTTCCTTATTCGAATCTCACCTTCGCTATGGTTTACCTTTCTGGGGTTCTTGTAGCTTATACCTTTTCGAATCTATTTTTAAACTGCAAAAAAGAGCAATCCGCTATGTATTTGGTTTAAGTAGTAGGACACATTGCGAAAATTACTTCAAAAATTTCAAAATTCTAACCCTTCCTGCTCTATTTATTTTCGAATCCGTCTGCTTAGTTCGCAAGCACATTCAAAATTTATCCGAAAGACCGACTCGTAGATATCCTACAAGAAATTTAGAGACTGATGTTTATTTAACAATGCCCACTTCTGACCTATTAAAACATTCCATTACGTACAATGCCAAAAAATTGTATAATAACCTTCCGATGCAATTAAAATCTATAAATACATACGATAAGTTCCGAAGACTGGCTAAAGCTTTTCTTCTAGAAAGACCATATTACACAGTAGCAGAATTTTATAACGTACCTTAGACATTTGAGTTCCACATACAATGGCATTAATTAAATAATTAAATGTTAAAGTATAAATTTAAATTTAAAAATTAAATTAGAATAATTATAATGACGGATATTGCATATCCATTGCAATTGTTATTCCTATTTTGTCTGTTTGTTTCTGTTTGTTTTTTCTGCTGTTTAGTTATTTTTATAGTATGTTTAGTATTTAAGTTACACGCTTTGTCTATAAAATTTTTGTAAATTTTTTTACGACAATAAAGCATATCTCTCTCTATCGTGGGTTTATAAGCCATCTAAAAATAATTATACCAGAGGTAATTGCGATTCACTGTGTTATCCACCGACATCTAGTAGCGAAAAATTTGAGTGATAGATTGCACCAATCGCTTCAATTTGTGATTAATGCAGTTAACAAAATAAGAAGCAATGCATTCAATACGCGTTTATTTGTACAATTGTGCGATGAAAATGATGAAGACTTCCAACGATTGCTGTTACATACGCTGATTGTCGAGTGGTGCATGTTTATCAAGATTTTATTTACTTTTTGACTCAGTTTTAGAGTTTTTGGAAAGTAAAGATCCTGATTTAAAAAAAGCAGACATCGCGTATTTGGCAGATTTGTTCAAAAATGAAAAGACCTTAACTTACAATTAAAAGACGACAGCCTCAATTTAATAAAAATAAATAGTGTAATTTCAGCTTTTCTTGGAAAATTTTCACAGTTTTCAAACTTGTCCACCGGATCTAGCAAAATTTTGAAAGTGGTCTATGAAGCAAAAGAGTTTGGGAACATCTGTTTTCTACACTTTGTCTACAATATATTAAAATAATGGCTTCAAAATAACAGGAAAAAGAACCTAGTTGTTTTATTTCTACAGAATCTCTTGATATATTTTCCATTTATAAATATTTGTAAAATTAGTAATTAAAAATTTTAAATACCCCTTATTGGAATTCCCTGTTTTTACAATTTCTATTTCGAGAGAAGTTCTGGATAAAAACCGATTTTTTTATTATATTTATTCCTTCTATTTTAAACCGTTACAAATTTTGACCGACATTTCATCGCTTCTATCCACAACACAAAATTTAATACGATTTAAACATATAAATCTTTCACCAGCCATTTTTTTATCCAATCTCCATATTATCATCCATTTACTCCCTAAACATTTTTAAGTAGCTCACCTGACGCCAAGTCACGGCTTCCAGGTGAAGCCGCCATTATTCATTAGCCCCTTTTTATTTGTTATTTTCTACGGTCGGAGGTGGAGGAGGTGAATGTTGGAGGTTGGAGGATTCGCAACGAAAAAGGTGACTGCGGAAGAAAAATTAGAATATGCATGAATTACCGGTGAACTGACAGTTCAGATCCTTCCTTATCTTTTCGAAATTAACTACTGCCGAGGCCTAGGCGGAGATGCGGCTCAGTTTAAACGCCTGGAAGATTAAGAAAGATCGCGTTGTTAAAAAATGGCGATGCATAATACAGGTTAGCTTTGGATGGAATGTTTATTTTCGTATGAATTATTCAGTTGGTTTTTTTTTCTTTTTTAGAAAAATTAAGCTTTTGCTTCAGTAGGTAAATTACGGCGTAAAATTTGAAGAAATTTAATAATGACGTTCATGTGATATTTTCCAAAGAAATTGTGTCAAAATTTAATAATCTAAACATCTACATATTGCAACAAAATAAAGTTAGCAATAATGTTAAAAATAATGGTTAATTTTCAAACTGTTGCAAGTGCAATTTGGAGATATTTATATCAATGTTGTATGGTTTTTTTTAGTTTGGTAATTTCATTTAAAAATTTTAGTCACAATTTTAAGCAACTTATTTAATCATTATTACCAAATTAGTGTATATAACTTCTCGTATACCGTCTAACTGACAACGTTGTGTGGTTAGTTCCTATTGGTTCTTTCACGGCTACGTCATAAATTTAAAAAAAATTAATAACTCAGGCAAATGAATAGATAAAAAAATTAAATGTAGCTTTATTTTGAACTTTATTATTTATAAAAAAAAAAATTCTAAATTTTTGAATATGCCCCATTGGAAGCAAGTATAATTTTCTTCCTGAAAACGAGACTAAAAAGATCTATTTGGATAGCCAGCAACCTTCAAGATCTTAAGGCTGCGACATTTAATCCAGCGGTTTTGCAACAAAGCAAGTATTCAATACATTGTACATAGATGGCAATACCTGTACCTGTA